CAAGGAGCCATGGAGGAGGTTTTGGAGACATAGCCATGGAGTGGAGCAGAGTGCCTCCTCCCATTGACCAGCTACACAGCTGCCATCAGGACTTCTACTGGGACAGTGAGGACAAATCATCCCAAAATATCACACTGGCTTCAGGATACAGGGCTGGTGAGATAGGAGGCAGGAATCTAAGGATCCAGGACTTGTCCCTTCCTTAAAATCCTCTTTGAACCATTGGTGCACTTGGCTCCAGGAGGCAGCACTGGCTTCATGGGTTTGCAGAAGAGAAGGTCATGCCAAGACTTTTAAATTGCTGAAGTCTATGAGGCAGTGTTCACTTCTTCCCACCCTACTCACCCTATCTGTTTTCACTAAACAGAAAATGGTTAAAGGAATAGCAAGGATAAATTGTGTTAGATTTAGAATGACAAGAAGCCTCTCATCTCACAATGTACTTCCATGGCAAGACAGAAAGCCCCAGGATAGAGTGGAATGCCCCCTCCCACAGACACTCTTTAGCACTTCAGGAAATACAACCTGACCATTAGGGTGTGGCCTTCCTGGAAGCTGGAGCTGAGATGAGCAGTCATTTCATGCTTTACATCTCTGACCCTGAAAGGCCACTCTGACATGTGGATCAATCTAGGCTGATACCAAGAGGATTAGGCTAGGTTTGGATGAAGCCCCAAGGCCACGTCTGCAGCAGGCCAGAAAGTTCAACCCAACTAGGACTTGTCTGAAGTCCAGTTTCAGTGGAAAATGGAGTGAAGCACACTTGGCTCAGGGGTTGGGAGGACATGCCACCTAGTGGTGAGGAGGGACTGGCCTTGGTGGGCTTTAGGGAGACCACTCATGTTGATGTATCTGCTTTTCTACTTTTCAGGGCTCCAATAAATATCCTAAACTGAAAACAGTGTCTCCAGGCCAAGTGAGAGAGTCCCTGGGCCCTGAAAGAGCTGTTAGTCCATTAGAGAGCCCACTCAGCTCACCCTGTGCCTGACCCTCAACTAGACCAGCCCTAGGCAGCCCACAGTGGTCACCAAAGGGGGCAGTTAAGCAGTTAGTGGCCTCCAGCCTGCAGATCATACTTTGACACATGCGATCAGAAATTCAGAGGGTAACTTCCCTCCACCTCTTTGAGAAAGATTCAAGGTCCTGCAGACCTGTAAACTCAGGCCTTCTCCATTTTGACAATGTATTTTTAGGACCATTAAATAAAATTTACAGGGGACAAAATTACAGGTAAATAAAATTTACCAGTGGTTTGGACTGAGCTCTTGCACCAAGCCCAACAACCCAGAAAACAAAACAAAACAAAACAAAACACAGAGTCTCTAATGCTGATGTTCTAGCCACCAAGCCCAAGCTAAGTTGTTTATCTGACCTCTCAGGAAATAAGGTGAGAGAGAGATAACAGTCAAATCCCCAAACAGGCCAGTTCTAGCCAGCATGATAAGGAAGTCCCCTCTGCTTTAACCTTTACCAGGAAAGCAACTTTGAATTGACCAATCCACTTTTGTTCTCTACTCTGCTTCCCTAAGCCCTTTACTATCTATCAAGTCAAACTTCTCCGCTCAACTGATCAGAACACTCATTCTATTTTATAGAATGAAGTATTGCTTTGGGAACCACAACTAAAAAGCCAATTAAGATCTTTCAATTTGTTGTAATTTTGTCTTTTCACACACCAAATAACAAATATCAGAAAAATTAATTTGTATACAGCCAGCTCCATTGCAGCATTTACAGAGAACATGTAAGTATACCACCTCCTTCCTTCCTGATTGTGAGATAGCATTCCCATTTGTCAGATGAGAAGAGTGAGATTGAGATTAAATTATTCTCCAGACATCTCAGAAGTATCAGGGGAGGGAACCAGCAGTTAGCGTAATGGCTATGTCGCTGGACTCCCACGTAGTCGACCGCGGTTCGTGTCCCGGACCCGGTGGCTTAAAACTCATGCCGGGCGCGTGTGCGTGCGTGCCCAAGATCCCGAGAGGAGAATGGAGGAGAAGGGATTGCGGCGTGACCATCCCCCCTGGGGGGTGATTTCTCGCTTTCTGTCTCTATGTCTCCCTCTGTCTGTCTGGCGAGCGCACGCGCCCTACAGTGAAAATCTCTCAAAAAAAAAAAAAGAAAAAAAAAAGTATCAGGGGACAGATTTAGGACTCTACAGTGAAGATTATGTCGTTTTGGTTTATAGATATCAGTACTACTTCAAAAATCCTCCTAAGGAAGAGCCCAGTAACATGTTAGTATTTAATGACAAAAAGAGAAAAGCAAGCAAACAAAAACTCCAGTGCTCTCTGAATAATCATCCCCCTTTTTACAAAACCAGGGAACATTCTAAACAAGAAGTATTCCCCTCCTTTTGGGACCTGGAACTTTGTGGGACTATTCTGGACCTTGAGATCCAAAAGACTTGAAGGACTACATATGACTTCCACAGGCATGTATGTGGAGGTGAGAGCTTCAGAAGGGACCTAACTAGATGCGCCAGCCTTAGTCACCTGGAAGATGGCTTTGTAAGCGAACAGAGCCCTTCAGGTCAGTCGAACCATGAATAGTCCTGAACCAGCCACTTATGGCCGCTGTCCTTGTCCATAACCAGGAGTACACCACAGCACTTACCATGAGAAGCCTGAAGAAGAGATGGGAGTGAGAAGAGTCATCAGGAAAAGTGGCTTCTCTTCCAGGGGGTTGTTAGGTTAGGTTGAACAGCCAGGGCCATGGGGGCTAGGAGGTCAAGGTAAAACAGACTGTGGATGCTAGTCCTAAAAAGGGATGAATGGACAGCAGATTGGCAGCCCAACTCCAGGTCTGCTCCCTAAATAGATTGATTCCTCTTTCAAAGATATAACTTCATGCTCCTAGACACAATTTCCTTTGGAGTATGACTTGACCTGGCCACCTCCACAGGTTTGGGACCATAAAATGGCAGCTTCAGGATCTCCATGACTAAAGACAAGGCTTTTCAGAGACTCAGCAAGAACCTTTGCAATGACCAGCTAGATAATGAAGACAGGCACCTGCCCCTTCAGGTCCCTGAGCTCAAGGCCAGGAGCAGGAAGGGCTTCTTGGCTGCCCATTAATCACCAGTGGCCCCAGTGAATAGTGCAGGAGACCAGGGGCCTCCCACCTCCATTTTATAAAGTGGGCATGCCTCAAAATGTGTTTGCATTTTAAACCAAAGTTCAGGTGTCTGAAGGGAAATTGGCTGTAAAGAAGAGTTCAGAATTAAGTCACCATGTGGAAAAAGAAGTCCTTTTGTGATGTAAACAGATATCATCTAATCAACTCATTTTAGGTATTTGAGTTTGTGAATTATATATTCTTAGAATTATCCACATCTTGGTTCTCTTAACTATAAAAGAAGAGTTTGGAGCTGGGGCTTTCTTGTTAAAAAAAATAATAACAACATCAAATTTAAAAAGCCTTTCTTCTAAAATTCTTCCAAGGCATAACTATGAACCAGTGAAAGTGGGGACTGAGAAGTAAATAGTATTTTGCTAAAATTGGGCTACTAGTCACTACTGGAAGATGGTGAATGGGTACCTAAGCTCATCCTGTAGTGGTGTGTGTGTGTGTGTGTGTGTGTGTGTGTGTGATAGTGTATGTGTGTGCATCAGTGTATTTATTTATATGTAGTGTGTGTGTTGCGTGTCTATCTGTGGTACAAAGGACTTGTGCATACATTCAATTCCTGGAGATGGACCTATAGACTGGAAATTATTGAGACTTCCGGTTCCGAGTCCCTTCCTGGGCTACATTCCAGCATGCCCTCCCCACTTGCTGGGCAGTGTATAGGAAGTATAACCTGGTAATGCTCTCTTTTCCAGCCAACTTTGGAAGATTCTGTATTCAGATGTAAAACTCTTTTTCCTAATGGTCAGACTTCTTGGACTAGAAGCAAGAATGGGAAGCCCTCCATTCAGAGAACTTACATAGCCAGCCTCAGAGAGGGATTCTTTTGCCATTTGTCCATACATGCAATCTTCATGACATGTTTTGGAGAACAAATGCATTTTCTTTTAAAAAAATAGCACTGTAATAAAAATGTTAAATCTTCATGCAGCCCTGGATTGTTCTCACCTCTTCACATATGTGTAGCTTTTAGGGATCATAGAGTGTGGGGCAGGGCTGGGGACAGAGTTAGAGATAGAGCAGGGAGTGGGGTGAGACTGGGGAAGGCAGCTTGGAATCAGCTGCCTTATACAACTCAGTGTTTCAGCCACCTGACAAGGGACAGATGTCATTTCAGGCTTCATTAAGTCTCTGTTAAGATGTCTTGGTGATTCACAATTCAAATATAGATTATACCTAATTTAACTACTACTGATAATGCCTGGTTCAAAAAAAATTTTTTTGAGAAATTTTTACTATAGAGCACATGCACTTGTCAGAGAGACAGAAAGCAAGAAGCCATCCCCCAGAAGGGTAGCCATACTGCATTCCTTTCTCCTCCATTCTCCTCTCTCAGGATTCTGGGCACCCACACACACTCTCGATATGAATTTTAAGCTGCTGGGTCTGGGATTTAAACCACAATCGACCACGTGGGAGTCCAGTGTTTTAATCACTATGCCACCTGTTGAGCCCTCTCTGGCTCAACTTTACTCTACTTTTTTTTTTTTTTTTGGAGAGGTTTTTGCTATAGGGTGCATGCGCTCGCCAGAGAGAGAGAGACAGAGAGACAGAAAGCGAGAAATCACCCCCCGGGGGGACAGTCACGCCCCAATCCCTTCTCCAGTCCCCTCGTGGGATCTTGGGCACGCACGCACACGCACCCAGCGTGAGTTTTAAGCCACCGGGCCCGGGACGCAAACCGTGGTCGACTACATGGGAGTCCACGGACATAGCCATTACGCCAACTGCTGGTTCCCACTCTCACCATTTTAAAGACGTTCATATTGTCCATTTTATTTCTTTAAATGGAGAATGCAAAGTAAATAAATACATAAATAAATAAATAAATAAATAAATAAATAAATAGATTCTTTCCATTTAAACATTTGTAGTTTAATTTTTAAGGCACAGAGTTTATATAGATCATTTTAACATCTAAAAATACAAAGTGAGCAGTAGTAACATCTGGTAGTCTACTCATTTACCAAGTTTAAATGCAACATTATAAAACTAGATTTAAAAATCTGACTCCTAAATAGATATGAAATAACATGGACCAATGGTAGCACATGCTAAACACAACACAAAAATGTATGGATGATAAAGAAAGCAAAGTGCTGGGGTAAAACTGAGGAATCTGGTAAGTGAGGAGAATAAGTTGCCACTAGATAAAAGATTTTGCTTCCTTTTCCAATTTTTTTTACCAAATCCCAGGGTAGTCATTGCTAATGCATTTTACCTTTTTATATGAATTGCCCAAAGAGCAGATGTATACTTGAAAAATGGAAATTTAGGCATCAACCACATGCCAATACCAAACTCTAAAAGAGTTTTCTGCAAAATGTGTGAATGTTAAGAAACACAGAGCAAGAGATAACACTTAGATTCTGTGAGGTCCTGATGAATATCTAACCAGCCTCACATTTTCTCTTCCAGGCTTCGGGTTGGAGCCTAGCATCTCAGCCCACACACAAAACTGTGCTAAGCGGCTGGTTACAAGGATGGTGGTGGAAAAACCACAGATAAACCAGAAACTCTTTGAGTCAATAGTTTCCACTTCCTCCCTAACTTGACCATTTACCAGAATTGCCCAAGAGCGGTCACTATAAAGTTAATCTCCTTGGATTTTCCCTTCCTCATCTCTACGTGAGACTATAGAGGGGACAGGACCAACAACAACCTGGCTAGCGGCACACTGTCATCACCACTGAAGTTCACTGTCAGGTCTGAGAGCAGCCATCACAAGGAATCAAGGTATGTTTGGTTCACATGTCAACACAGGGCTAGACACTGTCCAAGATACAGCCATTGGGAATGCTCCTGAAGGCAGTCTCCGAGAGAGGGGAGGGGGCAAAAGAATGTAACAGAAAGGGAGCTGGAACCAAAGACACAGATAAGTACTCTCCTCCCCCATTGCCTTTTCTGGAATCAGAGGCAGCAGCATTCTGGGAGTCCTCACAGGTCAAAGTAGAGATTGTTCACACTTCTAGTTCCTGCTGGTCTCTAAAGATCTGAGGACTCTATAATATCCACCTTTTGAAAATCCAGTCACAAGCCTCCTCTCTAGCTCTGTAGTGATGAATCTTTTTGTTTTAGTCCCCGTACATACGACTGAGGCATTATCAAGTGGTCCCCACACTAGTCCTTTAAAATAAAGTAACACAATACCATATTCAAATAAAACTATGTGAAGCGTGAATGCATGTGTAAGGATGTTCACTTATAAGCTATCACTAATTATCTAAGTGTAGCAAAATTTGAAGTGTTCTGCTTTATACTCTCTGATATTGCTTTACAATAATGAAAAAGCATACATCATTTTATAATTATAAAAAGTATTCTCATTGTGAAAAATACTATTAATTTAGAGGAGAAAAAGACACTGTATGATTATGAAAACTATCAGACAGATCAATATTTTCCAAGGAATTGAACACAAACCTAACTTGCTTTGAAATTTAAATTGCACAACACATGCCCTAAATACCATGTATCATGATGTCAGTGAATGTCAAAGTTAACACAAGCTGGGTAATTGGTGTGTATAACAACAGATACTGGAATACTCAATACACCAGCCAGTTGACAAACTATAAGGCCATGCATCATTTGGCATCAAGTGGATCACATTATGGGCATTCTTTTACAAAAGATGGTTACTGGAAGGAAATGTATAGAACACTTTTTGTAGCCTAGCTGACTCAACTGAGAAATAAGATACGAAACACCTAGGTTCACTTCATCCTTTTCGCAACATCTGAATATGCATGTTCAATCTCCTGGTCAGCTGGACATGTATTCGTGAACTCATCCCTAGCATAAGCGTTATTCAAGTATCTCCAGACGCCAGTCATTTCAGAAGGAAATTCAAAATCTCTGTATTTCTTGGCCACAATCTGAAAATAAAGAGGAAACGATCAGTAAAGGGAAAACCCACTAACGCAAGCAATGAAATCAGACAGTCCAGTTTTCAGAGGTGCGTCACATATTCTCTTACTCTTGACATCATCCTATAGTCATTTGGGCTACCCACAGTTGCATTTTGACTTTGCAGTTGGCCATGATAAGTGTGGGAGAGATTATAGAGATTCTGGACTCAGAACAATGGCTCCACACAGCCCTGACCACCAATTCACCACAGAAGATCCTTGGGATCCACTAGAACGAGTTCTCTATCTTTGGGTGGATTTCTTCTTGTTTCCTGCAATTTTTTTTTTCATGTGTTCTGTTGTGGTAGTGCTTGGTATTATTCAGTGCATGATGATGCATGATGAATCTTCAGTTTAGAGCACACCAGGATCATTGGTAAAGTGCCCTCTTTTTCCTACTTGCTGAGCCCTACCTTCTGCAATTCTAAATATGTGTATGCCATTCCTACAGATCTCCATCATTCTGCCATTGAGTAGATCAATTAATTGTAGGCCTATCTGGTAAGGAGGATAGGTTCATGAGCAAAACAGGCACAAATCCTTACCCTCCTAGAGAGCATACGTGAGGAAAGACCAGTTGAGAGTGAACATCCCGAGAAGTACAACAGTGTGAGCTGTCTCCTCCGGCTGGAGGGATACAGTCAGGGCATTAGTCACAGAGGAGGGCCTATCACACTGGGGACTGCATCAGATTCCTAGGGCTGCTCTAACAAATTACACAGAAATGTGTCCTCTCACAGTTCTGGAAGCCACAAGTGCAGAATCGAGACGCCAGCAGGGCCATGATTCCTCTGACCTCATTCTGCAGTCGTGTGGGCTACCTACAATTGCATTTCGATTTTGCAGGTTTCTTTCCTAGTTTCTGGCAGTTCCTAGTTTCTGGCAGTCTCTTAGCTCCAATATTTAAAGAGAATCCTTCCTGTGCATGTCTCTGTATTACATTTCCACTTTTGCAAGGAGACCAGCCCTACTGAAGTGGTCTACCTGCTCTGATATGACTTCATCTTAACTAATTACCCTTACTTCCAAATAAGGTCAAATTCTGAAGCACTGGGGGCTAAGATCTCAACATATGGATTTCGGGTTGGGGGAGAAGAGGTCACAATTCAATCTGGAATAGGAACTCAGGGCTGCAAAGGCCAATTCTGCTTTGTTACTTCCCTGGTTCACTGGTTCCTGGGATGTCTGAATGGAATATGAGAATGACCCAAAACTAGAAGATCTGTAGTTTCTTTCTCAGATTTGGAGACCAGTGGTCATTGGTGCAGTCTGACAGAAAAACAGGACCACATTATTTTTAAAAAGCTTCCTAACTTATTTAGCACCTTTTACTTGAATTCAAACTGATCGGTGTTGCTGTTAAGAATTTTGCTTTCTTTTTGCTTGGCTCATCTTTGGCCATCTTATTTGAATATTTCTGAGTAAATTTTTAAGTATATACTTCGAATAGATGAAATCTTGTTTTTAATCTATTTTCAGAATTTAATACTACTTTGTTTTCTATCTTTTTCTGAGTGTGTGTGTGTATGTGTATGTGTTTCCCTATCTGGTAACTTAGAAAGTCTATGGTCAGTTTTAACTCTTACAGCGATTTCCTATAGAACTTCAAATAATATAGATTTTTTATATTTTTATATTTTTATATGATTATTTGCTAACTTAAAATACTATTTTTTGACTCCTGAAAATTACAAATGAGGAAATCCACATATCTATACTTCCTGCCATTTCTTCTTTCTCCCGTCCACTTCACTGGCTATAAAAACATTCAGGTTCCCTCTCTTCTGACTCTGTCTCTACTCCTTCCACTACAGCTCAGTGCTCCTTTTAGATTTGAATGGCTTTTCTGTTCATTGCCTGTCTTTTTATACGACACGCCTTCTCTGTTTCTGAATCCTTGTTTTGACCATCATTTTATTATTTCATTATACAGCAATTCTTTTTATGTAGTTTCTTGTTTACATTCATGTCATAAATCTTTGTAGCATACAATATGATTTTTCAAAGCAATACTGTTTTTACAAGTGGCTCACAAGTGCTTATTTTACTGAGTTCCAGGAGCCCAGGTAAAAAAAGACTTGCTTAGATATAAAAATTTTAAGTTGTATATCTGTTAAAAGAAAAACTTCAGACAATTTAATTTAGTGGAGTTTGAGCAAATGATTCCAATTGGGTAGCCCCCAGAATGGCTTACAAAGAACTCTAGTTAAGTGATACTTATGTGCTGGAAGACAAAATGATGTACAAAAGAAAGCAGAAGTAAGGGAACTGAGGTAGAGAAATAATTGGATTGATTACAGCTGTTTCTGTGACTGACTGAAGTGTGGCTACTGTGATTAGCTGTAACTCAGGAACTCATTTAGGAAGCAGTTTTCCAAGTGAGGTTGGGGTTTGCTTACAGAAACTAAAGCAGGAGTATACTGGCTTTCTCAGGCCAGCACTTTAACATATCCTTCCCTGAGTTCTCTATAGATGTTAAATCCCTGTTTCTTGACGTTAATATGGTCATGAGGGCATATGAGGCCAGTCTGAATTTATTCCCTATGCAGGTAACTTTACTACTTTATTATTTTTAGTAGTAGTGGCATGAAGGGTCTTCAAAGAATTCATGAAGAATGTATACTATGAAAAAAATGCATGAATTTAAATTATGTTTTGCACCAAAATAAACTTGTACTTTGATTCCATTGTTTCACAAACGTTTTGAAGTACCATGATAATAGCTTTGCTGGTGGTATTAATGTTATTGTCAATATGTCCAAAGAGTTTGTTTTGTTTCATTTTCACTCTCAGTGCCCCATAATGTATCAAATATGTTTCAGGGTATGCACTATTCTGGGGCAATGTTTTCCCAAATATGGCGTGTTTTTTTTTTTTTTTTTAAATAAAGGATCAAGTCATCCATTAGTTCATAATAATTTTCCCCTTGAGAATTTCCCCCTTATCCTTTCCTATTCTCTTGTTCCTGGTTATGCATTCCTGTAATCTCTCTAACCATCTCTGTCTCTGTTCTCCATTTCATTCCAGATGATTTTCCTCAGGCCTATCCTCCCTAATGAATTTCTAGTGTCTTCTGCTGCTTCCTGCTGTTGCTGCTGCTTCTATTGTTTTGGTTTTGTTTTTGTTCTTTGTTTTTCTTTTTTTGAGAGAGAGATTTTTGTTTTAGGGCACATACACTCACTGGAGAGATAGAAAGTGAGAAATCAGCCCCAGGGAGAATGGCCATGCCTCAATCCCTTCTCCTCCATTTTCCTCTCAGGATTTTGGGCATGCACACACATGCACCCAGCATGTGTCCATGACTTGAACCAGGCTGACTATGTGGGAGTCCAGCAATGTAACCATTATGCTATCTATTGGTCTCACCCAGTGTGAGTTTTAAGCCACCAGGACTGGAACTTGAACCACGGTCAACTATGGGAACCCAGCGACATAACCATTATGCCATCTGTTGGTTCCAGCTTCTTGCTTCCTCTAAGAGAACTTCTGGTTTAAATTATTTTGTTTGACTTTACCTTTTTTCTTGAGCTCTGCCAGCTTTATTTTCACCCCTTTGTGATATAGTATTTTTTGATATCTTGTGTTTGGCTTTTTCTCAAAAGATCCATGTTTGCTTTCCTTTCTTTGAGGCTACAAAGTAATTTCTATCTAGAATGCTCTTTAATTTACTGGAGCAGTTTTTGATCATATATGTATTTCCCATATGTCTTTTTCCTTTTTTGTTCCCTCTCTTTATCCTTTTTCCTTGGCCCTTATGAATAATCTCTATTCATATACAGAGGTCCCACTTGGAGTCTTGCTATTTTAAGTGAGCTTTTTTTTTTTCTTTTTTGAGAGAGATTTTTGCTATAGGGCACATGTGCTCACCAAAGAGATAGGAAATGTAGAAATAATCCACCTCACCCCCAGGGGGATGGCCACACCACAATCCTTTCCCCTTCATTCTCCTCTCAGGATTTTAGACATGCATGCACATGCACCTGGCATGAGTTTTAAGTCACCAGGTCCAGGACTCAAACTGCAGTCAACTACGTGGGAGTCCAGCAACATAACCATTACAGCATCTGCTGGTCCCACTATTAGTCATCTTTTTTTAAAATTTTATGTCATTATCATAATATTTTTTATATTACAGTGAATCTTTATATCTTTATAGTGTATTACATTTCTTTTTCCAGTAGGAATACCATGCATATCAGTCAAGACATTACTATCCACATCATCATCATCAGATAGCTTTTCATTATTTTTTTCAGATTATTATCATTATTTTTTTAAACATTCAATCACTACATATCATTTGGCTTACAAAAAGAGTTTACCCAACATGAAATACTTCTCAGACCAGTCCAGTTGAGAATACTATACATGTGATCATCAATAGGTAATAAACCATGGTCAATCATCTTTTAATGAGATAGATCTATTGAACTACCACTTGCTTAAAAATAAAGTAGAGGGCTACTCTATTCACCCTCTCAGCCGACATCACTTCCTTCTCTGCCCCAGGGACATGTTAGAGTTAGGATTAGGACTAGGGTTAGCATTAAGGCTGGGGTTAGGGTTAGAGATAGGGCTGTGGCATCCTGTACTCTGAACCTCACTGATTAGGCAAAAGGTTACCATGACTAAAAATGAGGCTTGGGCAATTTATAGTCTTTCTCTTGACTGCTTGGAAGTTTCTTTCTTTTTCTGCTCAACAGCTATAAAGCAGACGGCCACTTCCCTTTTCTTCTCCCATGCCACTTCCTCTCCAGATTGTTCCTTTGGATTTGCCTGTAAATATGGCACCTCTCTATGGCTCCTCCAACTCTGCCTCCCTAGAAATGTAGCTCAATTGTGGTCCCTTAGGGATGTCACTACTCTCTAATGGCCCACAATATATTCTAGCCTTCGACCAAATAGCATTGGGTTGGCATTTCAGGACTGTATTAATTAATTTCTGAGAAATCTGAACTTCATAAAGAAACAGAGAAACACACATTGGGTCTCCCCCTGGGTGGAGTTTCTTGGCTTTCTAATTGGTGATATGTCATTTTTTATTTATTCATTTTTTAGTTTTATGAAAGATGAACCTAGTACTCCATTTTTTCAGTTTTCACTGAGTTTGATGATTGGAAATAAATAAACCCCTTACTCTCTCATTTATTACCATGATTCCCTTTGATTGCTTTTCATCGCCTCTCAGACATACTCCACCATGCAAGTGCATTAAGCTGTTCGGTACTTTTGAGTGCTAAATGGTTTTGGAGATTTTGCTGCTGCTAGATCTTCTGATGGAGCCATGGACTGGGTCATGTCATGCTGAAGCTTACCCCTCTCACTGAAATTTTAAATTACCTAAGTTTCATAGGAACTAAACATGTACCAATTAATGCTGTATGGTGAAGATAATTCTCTTGCTTAGACTCCCTATAGCCCAATGAAGTATCTGCCCCCATGGACTGTGTGAACCTAATGTGTAACTTCCTAAGGAACTCTTTGACTTCTCAGGGCCAAGGAGCACGGATAGTGAAAGTAAAAGTAAAGGGGCTGAGAGTACTGTAGAGAGACCACAGCAAAGGAGTCCAACTATGTGACCATCTGCCTTAGAATCCCAGAGGTCACCCAAGAACTTACCATGTACTAAGTTGGTGGTAGGCTAGGGCCATGCATTTCTAAAAGGCTCTCCAAACAATTCTGAGGCCTACCAGCATTACAGAACCACTGGTCTAGGAAGTCTTTAAATTCTAATAATATATGACCCATGACTCAAATCACCTTCTACTATTTGGGAAGACAGAACACCAAATATGGCAGAGGCCCATCAAGGAGCTGTCAGGTGCTCCCCAGATATTGAGAGTTTATGTTAAGAGATGACATGACATGCCTTTGTCAGCCCTAGAAAGAACTGAATATACCCTTACAATCACCAACAACTGAGTTCAAACTTTAGCACTCCCAGATTCTACGCATCATTCTAAGGTTCAGATGTTAAATACCAGAGCTTTTCTCAATTTGCTTTCAATTCACTTTTCTTTAGGCTATGGGGGTAAGGATGAGAAAGAGAAACAGTGAAGAAGAGTGAGAGGGAAGCCAAGTTTCCTGGCCCTTCTTTTTTTTTTTTTTCCTTTTTTTTGGAGAGGTTTTTGCTATAGGGCACATGTACTCGCCAGACAGACAGAGAGAGACAGAGAGACAGAAAGCGAGAAATCACCCCCAGGGGGGATGGTCACGCCACAATCCCTTCTCCTTCATTCTCTTCTCGGGATCTTGGGCACGCACTCACACGCGCCCCGCGTGAGTTTAAGCCACCGGGTCCGGGACGCAAACCGCGGTCAACTATGTGGGAGTCCAGCGACATAGCCATTACGCTAACTGCTGGTCCCTCCTGGCCCTTCTTAAGAATCCGAATCCCATCACTCCATGTATCTGACACTTGGGGTGAACAGAAATAAGCCTCAAACAGAAACAAGCTAGAAGTTTTCATTTGAGAATCTACATTTCAGATTGTTTAAATATCTGGCCCAAGCACAAGTCAAAACAAAATAAAACAAAGCTTATTCAACCACTCAACACGTGTCAGAGGGAAAACCAGACCTTAATAATATGGAGCTTGGGTAAGAGGTTACAGTCAGCCAAGGTGAGCTCATCCCCATCCAGGAACTTCCTTCCAGAAACAGTGACATCCTCGGTGCTGTAGGCATCTATTTCATCAGGCAGAGGACTATTTAAGTAATTGTCCAGTTTCTTCAGGGCCCTTAACAGGTTCTTTTCATAAACTAAAACAGAAAGGCAAGAAATTGCTAAGATGGACTATGCAAGGTAATGTCACTTTTCTCTAGCTATGAAAAGAGGTGTTTGCCTCCTTTCCTGAGATGAGGCCATTTCGCAATCAACATCGGGAAGTAGACTAGTCTGCTATGGCATTGCTAACAGAAATACTCAACACTGGGTCATTTATATAATAAATGCTTATTTGACTCAAGATCCTAGTGGCTGGAAAGTCCAAAGTCATCAAAAAAAGGTAGAGGGCAGAACTTCAAACAGAATGTGGTCTGTACTCATGTGGGCTCCACCTGCCTCATTTCCTCTCCTTGTAAATGCAATCATGGGGATGCTGCCCTAAACACCTAATCACTAATCTCTTCCCAGAAGCTTCACTTTCCTACACCATAACTGGATCAAGTCTTCATCCTTTTAATCCCACTACAAAAGCTCAATACATGAACTTTTGAGGGACACATCATCAAAATATAGCAGGAAGTTTGGATTTTGAATATATTAATTAAAGACTTACTCCTCCCTGGAAAATTATTCTACTATCTACATAATATTGCTCCTTCTAAAACTTACTTATTATGAGGTAGGCCCTGGAAGAAGCATCACTTAAAACACCTCCCAGAGTGCCTCTGGAGACACCTAGGTGGTCAATATTTTTCTCTAAAATTGTCATTTTCTAGACTCCCAACCACTAGAAGAAGTGCTCAATCTCTTGAAATGTATGTATAGGTTCAAAGATGGAGGTACTTTTCCTAGTTTCCAGACTCAGTCTCTACCCTCTGTGAAATGAGTCAGAATTCTCAGGATCTTCTAAGCAGCCACACTAGAGGCAGAGTAGAAGCCCACATGGAAACAGAAATGGGAAGATGGCGTACTCACTCTCATTTGCATCCTTCTTGGTGTTTTTAATAAATGCTGAGAATTTGGCAAAGACATCATTTCCGGCAGAGTTGGATTCAGGGTGTTGGGTCCCCAGCTTAGGGTACCTTGAAAAGTTAAATATTGGCGTGTCACAGATAAATATCTAATTTAAGAAATAAAATGGGGCAAAATGTTGTTCTCTGAATGGATATAAAAATGCTCACTTCCATTTTAATGGTTCCTTAATCTGTTTTTATTATCAAGGTTGGGAAGCAGCACACTCTGGGGAAAGGTGCTGGAGTGAGAAGCAGGACATAGAGCTCCGTCTGCCTTCACTGGTCTTAGTTCCCTCCCTAGTGAAATGAAGGTGGTGGACAAGAAGGTTCCTTTCCAGGCTCAACACTACATAGCATTTTCTCCTGGCACGCTCTCCTTCCCTTCCAGCAGTCAACCAAAGAACCAGCTCACCCACACACAATCGACCCACCTCCTCTCTACTTCCTGCCTTCACACGCTCAGTGCCACATGCAGGCGCAGAACAGTGACACCCAAGCCCCTCTATCTCAAGGTTTCCAACCTGACTCTGCGTTACCTGCAGTTCACCACAGTCATGACTAAGGAAGTAAGCGCCCTAGGCCACAGGAAACCAAACCACACAGCCAGGAGCTTTAGAATTGTCTGTTAAGGGAATGAAAGTGACAACTGAGTTGTGAACAGTGGTTTTATGAGGCCTACCTTGGGGGAGCTAATTTCTCCTCTAAGAACTCCTCAATCTTATTCACATCCGTCTTGACCTCACCATCAAAAGTCATAAAAGGTGGGTTTGTTCCGGGAGCCAGGTCTTGCAGGTCTGCTGGTTTCCTGGGTGGGAGTAAACATCAGTGTGTGCAGTGGTGTGTGCAGGTAGCCATAAGCATTTGGGTTCATTTCCAAAACTTTAGCATGAATTTCCCCAATTAAGAGAAACAAAACTTGAGAATTTCAACGTAGATTGTGGATTTGTGAAATGCCTCACTGGTGAGAACACTAAATTCATTTATTAATGATGATGTGTTGAATGACCACACCCTTCTGTGGCTCCTTTCTTGGACAGTAGGTGACACAGTTCACCCTACCCAGGGTTATCAGCCAGGATTTATGTTTCTGAGAGAGACAATGCTAACCAGTAACTGGGGAGGCTACCTCCTCCTCTATTCCAGTGGCAGTCCATCTGATACTGCAATTACTCTGCCTGGCCCATGTGTGGCCTTACGTTCATGCTCCTGACAGACAATGGGCCTCTCTGGATATCACCCACAGGTTCCAGGTGTGTTCATGTGCATGCTTATGTGTGTGCGTAGGGAACTAGGCACAGTTATTTCAATAATGCAGAACCAGGGCTAAATGGTGGTACAGTGCTCAAAATACAAACACCATGCTATGTGAGAATGACCCATGGAAAGGTTCTGGGTTTGCATCTGAGACCTCCTTGAGTATTCCAGGCATATATGACCTTGGCTGGCTGAGGATAGGTATAGAATCATGGTGTCAAGAGCCTGTCAGGGTGCTGTCTGTCCCTCTATCTCTCTCTGTCTCTTTCACTCATGGAGGAAATTATTAAATACATCTTTAAAAAGTAATGCAGAAACCTTTTCTTACCTTTTTAGGTCCACTGTCGTCACATTAAATATAACGCCCTTTAGCCAGAGTATCATAAAGAGACGTTGAGAAAATGGGCAATTTCCGATACTCTCGCCATCATAACCAGCCTGCAAGTGGAAAAACAGTTCTTTATCTGAGTTGGTCCCACAATTATAAATGCCAGAAACCACAATACCCATGAAGAAATCATCATAAATTTTTATGAGTGGTCATGATAGTGTAAGTATCCTTCTGTGGCCATGTTGCTCAGCCTCTATATCAAGGTGGAGGTGGGAGGGGAGAGAGAAAGAGCACAGATGTACACACACACTGCAAGGAGCATTTTCTCTCTTTCTTCGCCACCATCTCACCACTTCCTGTCGTGCTGGGCCTCTGAGTAGCTGTTCACAGAATGGCAAGAGGGAACTCCCTTCATTACCAAAGGCAAAGAAGAAAGGCAATATATACCGGATGTCTGCACTCTATGGCAGAAACTGGAAAATTGGAAGATATAAAGGTGTGGAGAGCAGCTGAGGGTACTAGAGACAGTGTGGGAGGAGGGTGGGAAATGGGAGAGGGAATCAAGGAGGGAAAGAAAGAAGCAAAACATTTAAGGGATGCAAAAATAGAAAAATTATTTGTTGAAGATAATATGTATTGTAAGATCTCTGACTGAACCAAAATGCAAAGCATTCATGAAGGAAACATTCATTTGCTATATGCTCTAATGATACAGTGACTGAATGTAAAATAAAAAGAAACAAAGAAAATTAAAGAAAAAGACAGACTCCTTCCCTCCATCATGACGTTCTCCACTAGAAGCAACATGGCTCTCCTTCCAGGATGATCTTCACTTAAAAACACACCAGTCAGGGCCAGATAGTAGCACAGCAGTATCATGAGGCTTGGCAACGCTGGACCCCATGGGGAAGTTCCAGGTTCATTGCCCAGAGACCTCCTGTACACCCCAGGTGTGCGAATGTCCACGATCTAGGGCTGACTGAAGCTGGGAGTACATGGCAGTAATGAAGACTCCGCTGGGAGTGCCTCCCTTCATGCTCTTGTAGGAGAAATAAACTTAAATAAATGAAACCATGAGCCAGCTCTCCCACCAAGGCTCCATTTTTACTCATCTCTATTATGCTCATCTACAGCATAAAAAGATTGCATTATAAGAGTTCCAAGATTACCCAGACAAAAACCCCATATTTCTCTCCTGCTCCATGGAGGTGGCAGATGGATGAGGTGGGGAGCATTTGTACCTTGAAGGTAGACTTTTACACAGTTGGCACTGGGGTGGAAGGATGTTAAATGGTCCCTTCCTCATGGCCCACTACAGGTCACAGTCACACACACACATACCCCAGTGCAGGCAGAGAGACCCAGTGAACTTAAGTCTTCCATCTCATGGGCTCCTGGCAGGGGAACAAGGCAGGTGTTGGGGTCGGAGGAGATGTGTGGGGCTTCACAACTCTCAGAAAATGGGTGATGGAACCAAGACTAACAGAGTTCTGAAATCTCCTTTCTCTTTCCATCTTTCCTCATCCCACAAATCTCTAGCAAGATCACGATGCTAATAAAATGCTGCCAAGAAATCAAAGAGGATGAATTCCTCACAACCCAGAATTCAAGCTCATGTCCAGCCAGCCTTTGTCACAAAAACACAGCCACACTTAATACATGCAGTCCATTTCTACTGTATAGGTGCAAGAAAGCTGAAAGCGCTATATCCATAACCTGAGTAAGGAAGGACAGAAGGCAGGAAGTGACAGGCTTATTTAGAAATTGAAGGGAAGAGGAAAAAAAAAACTGTTCAAGAAAAAGTGCCTAAAGGTGATTCTCTGATTTTGGCAGGTATTAGTAACAAATTATCGGACAAAAGACCAGTAGCATGTGTTCCTACAAATTAAGGACATTAAAGGCAGACAACCCAGTTTTGAAAAGACTTGATTAGCCTCTTCACAAAATAGGCAACTTAAGTGGCCAAAAAGCACTTGGAAAGGTTCTTAAGGTCATTAATCAGCAGGGCAATGCAAATTAAAACCACAGGAAGATGCCACTATGTATCTACCAGGATGGCTACCATTAGAAGGTGTGACAGGCCAAATGTGGTCAAATGCATATCAGCAGACATTCCCATCTGTTGCTGGCAAGAGTGTAAACTGCTGAAACTGCTTTGGGAACCTGTTTGGTAGTTATCTATCAAGCCAACAAAAACTTACCCTCTAACACAGCAGTCCCGCGTCCAGCAGAAATCAGCGCTCATAGGCACCAAAGGACACTTAAATATTCTCATCACCCTTAATAGAAGAGTCAAATGCTACAGACAACTCAGACATCATCAAGAATAGAATGAGGGGCCAGCAGGTGGCGTGGTGGTTGAGGGCACTGGACTGCCACATAGCCAACCGCGGGTTCAAGTGCAGGATCTGGTGGCTTGCTTTCTCACTTCCCCCCACCCATCTCTCATTCTGTCTCTCTCTCTGGTCAAATTTAAATAAATAAATAGATAAAGTTAAATAAAATAGTTCTTTTAAAAATAATAGAATGAATAAATCAGTCGAAGCAAATTCAAATGGTGCTAAGACAGCACAAGGGGAAAGAATTTGCTCTTACTATAAGCAACAGTATGGATGGGCCCTGCTCCATGGCCTAGTGGTTAAGAAAATCAGATCCCACAAAATCAACCTTACAGCTGGAATCCTGGCCTGTGGCTGGAGAAACATGCCAGGCACATGTGTGTGTGCACTAAATCCCAACGGGATTGAGAAATGGAGAAGGAATTGTGTGGCCACAACCCTTGGAGAGGATACTTTCTCCCTCTCCTTCTTGCCCTGTCTCTCTGTTTCTCTCTCTGGCAAGTACAGGCACCCTCTGGCAACTAAAAACGAACTTGTGTGGATGTAGTTCATGTACACAATGTTGAGAGAAAAACCCAGACTTGAAAAGGTCCTATATAGGTCAATGCTGGTAAAGTTGAAGCACAGGCAAACTTCTCTATGATGATGGAAGTCAGAACAGCATTGCCCCTGGAAGATGAGTATTATCCCAAAAGCACAGGAGGGAGCCTTCTGGATGGTGGAAATGTTCTACATCATGATCTGGGCAGTGGCTACATGGGTAAATTGACGAAGTCTTATGGTGGATACCTAACTGCATCTAAGTTTTATTTTCATACAAAAGGAAGTAAAAATATTAATTCAAAAAAATAGAGGGACAGATCCAGTGGCTAATGCATGAGGCCTAGGAATCTATGCTTTATGTCAGAGGTACATTCATGAGAAAGAGAGAAAAAAACAACTCTCAACAGGATCTGGTCACATCACAGTAAGTTTTCCACTAGTTCTCCATCCCATCAGGATCTTGGGCATATGTGCATATAGCCACCATGTTTTTCAAGGGCAGGATTCAAACTCTGGTTAGTCATGTGGAATCCAGCTTCCTCTACACAGTCTCTAACCTTCACTATAGGACTAGTTCAGGAATCTAAATGTTTTTCTTTTCTTTTTTTTTTTTTTTTTTTTTTTTTGGAGAGGTTTTCACTATAGGGCGCGTGCGCTCACCAGACAGACAGAGAGACATAGAGACAGAAAGCGAGAAATCACCCCCCAGGGGGGATGGTCACGCTGCAATCCCTTCTCCTCCATTCTCCTCTTGGGATCTTGGGCACGCACGCACACGCGCCCGCCGTGAGTTTTAAGCCACCGGGTCCAGGATGCAAACCGCGGTCTACTAGGTGGGAGTCCAGTGACATAGCCATTACGCTAACTTGCTGATTCCCCAGGAATCTAAATGTTTAACTAGCTCCCCAAGGTAATGTGATACCCTTGGTCAGAGACTGTGTTGTGACAAGCACAGCCTTAGCCCAGTCCTGGACAAGAGGAAAGGCTGATGCAGAAGCATAATTATCAGTGTGGACACAGAGCAATGTGAGTCCCTCCGGGGTAAACTGTTGAAAAAACTTGCAAAGCTTTGCTGTTGACCACACAGCTACTCAAACATAAGGACAAAGGAACACCAAGAGTCCCAGATCACTGAACTCAAGAGCCCTACATGCTGGGCCTGTGCCTGACACCCCCCTCACACCCTTATATAAAAAAACAACTTTCATTTGCTTCTTCGCCTACTAGAGGGGAAAGTTGGAGAACTCCCCAGGCAAGAATTCCCATCTGTGGAATTACTGGGAAGCCAAGGGTGGGGAGCTGGACAGTTACAACACATGCATCGAGTGATTCTAATAACTCCCTTACAGATAGCATCCCCCTCGCCTACATGCACCCATTTCCCACCTTGGGGTACCACCAGCTGAAGGCCATTTTTAAAAACAATTTTGCCAGAGGGCAAGTTTGCTTGCCGGAGAGAGAGGTGGGCAAATAGAGTGAGAAAACACCCCTCGTGGGATGTGATCATGCTCCAGTCCTTCACTTTTCTGTCCTTTCAGGATTTGCGGTATACACACACAAGTACTTGACATGCTTCTCAAGCCACGGAGGCCAGAACTCAAACCACACTGTAGGTCATGTGAGGTCTGGCACCTTAGCCACCAGGCCACGGGCTGGCCTCCAATGGCCATTTTGAAGGCTGCCTCCACCTTCTTCTCACTTTCTGTTTCAGAGTAAGAGAAAGCACAGAGTTGAGTTACACAAAATTCACAGAGGGGCCAGAAGGGAGCATGGTTATTGACCATGGGTGGGACTTGACCCAGTGTCTTGAAAGTCATGCTGCATGCAAACACATACATGCCCAAAATCCCAAGAGGAAACTGGAGAAAAAGGGCTTTCAGCATGGCCATCCTCCCTGGGGAATGATTTCTCACTTTCTCTCTCTCTCTCTCTCTCTCTCTCTCTCTCTCTCTTTCGTGAGCACATGTGCCCTATGGCAAAAACAAAACAAAAAACTCCCAGTGGCTTGCTGGAGAACACTCTAAACCATGCAGTTCCTTAACTACTGCAGGTTTGGACACAGTCAAGCCAAGCGAAGGGAGAAGCAGGAGAGAAAAGTGCAGGGACACAAAACTACATATTCAGCCAGTCCTGACTTGTTCTGCTGCTTTTTAAAACTCGTTTTTATAATAGTTACACTAAACAGAGTAAAGTCTCAAATCATTTCTGCCGAGTTTCTTTTTCTT